TATGCGAAGGCCAATATCTGTACACTTCTATTGATGATCGTACTTCTGGTTTTTATGGCCGATTTCTCTATGGCTCTTTCTAGCGCGATGTTAAACAATAGGCACCATAGCCTGTCTCCCTGGCGTAATACAGTATGTGTTTGAAAAGACCTTGACACTCTATTTTGTACCTTGACTTTGCTATCAACTTTCGAAAGAGTTGCCTTTACCAATGTTATTAGATGCGACGGAATATCTAGTTCTGCCATGACATTATAAAGTGCGCTTATGTCTACACTGTCATAAGCGCTTTTAAAATCTATGAAGAGGTGGTGGGTATCAATTCCATATTTATATGCCTTTTCTAAGGTTTGTTTGAGAAGGAAAATCGACATTTCTTTTCGGAAGCCACATTGGTATTTATCTATTTTTTCCTCAGTATATACTAGTAAACGATTATAAAGTATATAAGCCAGTACTTTGTAAGCCATATTTAAGAAGGTAATGCCTCGATAGTTGTCACATATTAGTGGATCCCCTTTCTTGTGAATAGGTATTATAATAGCTACATTCCAAGTGTCTAGGAGTTTTCCATCTCTCCAAATGGATGCAACAAGTCTTATTATGTATTTTTTTTAGGGCGTTTTCACCATACTTGAACAGCTCAGAGGGTATACCATCATCAATATTTTAGTGTAACTATTTTTAAATAAATAATAAAAACGTCAAACTCATTATTTTGCTCATAACTTAAAGACTTGTCTATTAAGAGATTTGACGTCAACAGACAACTTTTTCAGAAAATGCACAAAATGAGATTAAGTCTAAATTAAAATCGGTTAATCAACAAGAAAGTTATTGCAAAATTAATAACAAAATCGCTGTTTTTGGGCAAAAATTACTAATAACTATTTTATTATTTATTAAAATTTTTTAAAATCTACCTCAACTTAACGTGCTTATCGTGTTTGAATTGAGCAAAAGATAGGCCAGATTGGTTGAATAGTTTTTGCGAAATTTAATTTGTTTTTAACAATTTTTGAAAAATGAGCTAATTTCTAAGGTTGGTCTAGATAATTTGACTAAATGGATCTCAAGAAGCCGGGACCCTCAAGGTCGGGTACATTAAAACAAATTTTAATAAATAATAAAAAGTTTATTAATATAACAATAACTTTTTTGTTCATTAACCAATTTTAATTTAGAATATCTCATTTTGTGTATATGCTAAATAGTTCCATTAAAAAATTGATGAATCTAACCCGTCTATACACTTGTGACAAAAAAGACTTATTTTTTTACTAATTTCATTGGCCTCTTTAGAGGAGTATGTAGTTACTCTTACGAAAACCGTAGTTATAATATTTAAAGTATAGGTCTTAGTCCTACTTCACATCATTCCTTGTAATTTTATCGGCCCCTCCTGTACATTTGGTAAGTTTAAAATATGTACGTTTGTGCAGTCCTTAAAATAAAAAATTCTTTAGACAAACATGAAATCGGCTTATATTCAGAGCCTATAAAAATTTTCTTTCGACCCAATTATCCTACTGTAATGACCAAATAATCTGTTTGAAATGTTTTCAACCTTGTTTCATCAGTTTTATATGGATATTATCTTCAGTTCCTTGTCTCTCTTGTTTTTATTATTTTGTTTGTTTGCTAAATTTGTATCAAAAATAAATTATATTACAATCAGTAAGTCATTCTGTAATTTAATTATAAAAAATTTAAATAGTATTTCAAAAATTATTTTTTATAGTACAGTACAGATTTCGATAAGACAAACTCAAATCAACCCCCCTCCCCCAAGACTGAATTTTCCATCTAATACCTTGAAATAGGTTAGTTGTCCACCGGTGAAAGATGTGTATCATACATCCATTAGTATTTGCTTGTAGCTTTTGTAACTCATTGTGTTCGTCTAATAAAACCAATAAAGTTGTTTCAAAAAATTAAATTCGCATAGAAAGCATCTTAACAAGAAAAAAATGTAAGTCTGTATCGAAAAACGCTGTAGAATATAATATAAAATTTGCTTTTAAATTAAAAAATGTCATATGAGTGATGTGATCTCTCTTAAAAAAATATTAAAAATCAATTTTACAAAATGTATTTCCAATAGAATCTACAGTTTTTAAAGTCAGGTAGAATAAAAGAGTTTCTCGTCGTAAACAAGTAACATAATACTTTTAATCAAGCATATTCTCTTTTTTCTATGGCGCTACACCCAAGTCGAGCCCTGGCCTCCCCAGTATCCTCCTTCAAACATCCCTTTCCTTCTCCTGTTATCCACCCTTAATATTACTTTAGCATCGGTTCTCATTTCGTCTATCCACCTCTTCCTTGGTCTTCTTACTAGCCGACGTCCCACGATAGTTCCACTATGCCTACTACTAGATGTACAGTTAGACTTGCCCAGCGCGATCTTTGTAATTTTGCATAATTTGCTATAGATGGTTCTTTGTAATATTGGTGTATCTCGTGGTTGAACAGATATCTTATAGCGGCTTCCCACGGTCGGCGATATTACGGACGTAAGCGGACCAGCACGCACCACGCACCGTGGGAAGGGTCCTATCCATCTAGAGTCGGTAACATCAAAGGTGCGGTGCATGCTCGTGCGACGCGATCCTAGCGCGTCTGTGTTTTAACAGACGACAAGTGCAAGTCGGAAGTTTTTCATTCGCTGTTGTTGTTGTTTTGCAGTTTTTTGCTAAAAAATGGAATGGATAAACGAAGTTATTTTTGATTTTTTTAAATTTGTATCAAAATGAAACAAATTTATGGAATTCTACGGCACCAGAGCATAAGAAACGGAACCTATATATACGATGTATGGAACCGAATAAAAAATCAATTGAAGAATAGTACTATTTCGATTAAAGAATTAAAAAAGAAGAGACATAATTTAATGCCGAATTTAATGTTTACAAGCCTGAGTGGCCTTTTTATGATATTATCAAACAATACTGTCACGGACCTACACAGACTGTCACGGACCGTAGGAAGAGCTCTGTCTGCGGTGCGTTCTCGTCCGTGCTGATCGGCTGTCCGCGATGATCTGTAGAATCGCCGATCGTGGGAAGCCACTATTATTCTCCACATGCCATTGTCGCAAATGGGTCCCAATATTCTTCTTAATATCCTTCTTTCAAAATTATTAATACGGTTTATTGTCTTTTCTGTCATGATCCATGATTCGACACCCTGCGACAGATAGAAGTATGCTTTGTTAGCAAGCATTATGCTTATCCGTATTTCTCGCTGTCGTCTTCGGTTCAAGAATATACAGAACTTATCTTGGAAAAAATCATATCTTAAAACAAAGTTAAAATGTCCAAAATTATGGTAGTTTTTTTCATATCTCTTAACAATAGTTCACTCCAACTATCATTTCTATTTAGTTCATGAAATATACCAAATATTAGACTGATTTTGGTTAAAATTTTAATACTAAAAAATACTAAAAAAATATTAATACTTTAAAGTCGAACTCTAGACATTTTCTTTTTTCTTTAAATTTTCGTATTCTTTCAATATAACGACATGGTTTGTATAATACCAAAGGTCCCCAAAATTAATATCTGAATTGACTATCGGCGCTGATTGACATTCAATCAACGCTTTCGGGTACCAAAACAATAACAATTAAAATTATGATGCTATAATCAATTAGTAGAGGATCCGATATAACAAAGAAATTCACCGATCTGTTTATTGGATAAAAATTATTTGACATGTAATTTAGTATGTCAAAAGATATAAAAAACGAGGGGTGTCCAATAAAATTTTGTCCAGACTATAATTAATAATTAAAAAATGACTTTTTCATAAATTCTACTAGGGAGTTTAACAAAAAAGTTTAACACTAACGATAAGTACAAAACATGAGTACTCAGCCACAGCATGAGGACAAAAATATTAAAAACTGTGAAAGAAAATATTAGATTAACTGGTAAAGATGATACTTCACACTCTTTGCAAAAAAGCAAAATTTAAAAGGACATAAAAAACTTATGACAGTATCATACAAGGAATAACACAAACGAAGAATTCATTTGATGATACAACTGATCATTAACAGTTGTATCATCAATCAAATCATATTGTATGATTTTGTCTACATTTTATATAACTTCAATTAATGCACTGTTTTTAATTAGGTAAAGAAATAATACCTAATAACTGTTTTTAATTACCACAGAGTGTCTTGGACACTTTGACATGTTTCGCTGAAACATCAGCTTTTTCAGAAAAAAAAATAATTTTAAACGAATGATTTGCATGATACATGATTTATTTAGCATAGATATACATCGGATAAATAATATATCTTCCAACGAAGCTGATGTTTAATGAAAGAAAAAACACGTCGAGTTGACTCAGAGATTTATTGGAAAAATTGTTTTTATGTTATTTTATTAAAAAATGAATTTCCATCAAATTGTTTTAATTCAAAATACAGTAAACGGAATATTCTTTAAACCTTAAAATTGACTTTCAAAACGGAATCAAAAAGATAAAAATAAAAAATTGCAATATCTCAAATCACCGCATATGTATTTACTTCATCTTACGCTTTTCCTCTCATCACTGTATATACTATATTATTAGATTTAATTTATTTCCCATTTAGAGTATCTTCGAACAGATAGTTTAATGTTTCTTTATATTACGATACAAAAACATACACTAACGAGCAGTCTTACCGTTTGTTTTTCTTACACTAACACATCCTCTCCCGATGCAAACACGTATTATATCATCTTGCAAAGCGTGCATTAGTCCAAACACTTAAAATTTAATTTCAAACCAACTACACAGCAAACATCAGTGTAATACATTACGAAACATAACCGCACCGCATGGAACCTTATCGTAAAAACGAAATAATTATTGAAACAACTTTATCGGTCTATTAATATTTTTTTATCAGCTAACCATCGATATCAGTACGAGAGTGTGTATTATCTTCAGTATTGTGAGAGGTTTCAGTGTAAAAAATCGTTGTGATTTAGGTGATGATCCTCTACTAGATCAACAGCAGTACAAATACATGACGGTGGACGATATGAAGAGCTACGGCGACGATTCCATGAGGCTGGACGTTACCAACGACGAGAAGAGTGAATATAACAGAAATTCTATCGGTAAGTAGGTACCGTTTTTGTATGTACTCTAGGAGTTTACAGGTTAGGATTTTTTGTTAATATTTTGAGAGTTGGATAGGACTGTCAAAAGTCGAATAAATCAGCTGTCGTGCTGTCGTGCTATCGTGATTATCGAAATATTACACGACGATTATACGATGACACTTATCTATGTAAGATATTAAGTAAATTAAATATTCACTTCACTTTATATATCGGTAACAGTAATTTACGACACTAAAAAACAGGGAAAATTTTGGATACGACAAAAACGAATGTTCTATTTTTTGATATTTCAAGAACACAATATTCTTTTTTGCTAAATATACGAGATATGAAAATGAACTTTGTAACAAATCTTTTCAGAAAATATCTTTTGTATTATTTTCTTAAGATTCCTTCTCCAATCGAAGATGGGACCAATAATGTTAACTTTATTTCCACTTTTCACGAGCTCCAATGAGCTTTTGCGTGGGATAATGTGTATCTTCCTAAGATTCACCTCCTTTTATCGCTCCTCTTTTATAGTTCATAATTAACATCTTACATATTTCTCCTCTATGTCTATAATAATGCATTGAAGTTTCCATATTTTAATAGCTTTTAGAATCTCAATAATTTACTCTACTATTAATTATGTTTGTTTATTATTTGATTTCCAAGGACCCAATCAATATATGTTGGAAATAGTAGGAAAACAAAGTATTATAATAAACCTTTAACAGAAATGAGTTGGAAGATAGCAAATAGGGAAGCTATTGAATCCCAATTGAAGTAAACTTAAGAACTACGAAGTCCTGTGATGCTGATATTCTGTAAAGGTTTATTATTGTGTGTGTGCAAAGAACTGTCAGTCTTCTTTCTTATGTGCTATAGCAAAAAAAATCAAAAATTGACGATAGATAAAAGTGCATGGCCTTCTGCCATATGAAAAACTGTATTATGCACTGGAATTTTGGAGCAATATTTTTCATCCAAGATATTTATTTACCGTCTGGGCCACTTCAACCCTCTATTTTTCCTTTGATAATAAGTTTTTTTCTTTTCAGAATAAAAGTTTTATCGATATCGATTTTCTTTCATATATATTATTATGTTTTTCTAATTTTATGTTTATAATTACTCTATTCTTCTCAGTACTTCTTGGTTAGTTTTATATGCGGCCTAAGCTATTTATATATTCCATTTTCATATCCATAATGCTTCAATTTGATTCGTTTTCGTTTATAACCTAGCAGCAAAATGGAATAAAATATTCGGATATAGTTGGTCTTTCAACTTTTGCCCAATCATTTAATTGGATTTTATATGACTATGGCAAAAAAAGGGGAGCAAAAGGCTCATTTACTTTTGTTGTTACAACATGTTATGTGTATTTGTTAATTGATAAATCTGCAAATAAGTATTTAATTGGAAAATGTCAAATATGTAGTTGCTCTAAACCTAGCAGATAATTAAAAAATGGGGTACTTTGGCATCTTAATTTCAATAGAAAAGAGTATTGAGTTGATTAATATTTAAATTAATGCAAATACAACTGGTATTAGAGTGCAATTATAACTTGTATTAATAGATCTTTCTTCAATAATTAAATTCTTCTTCTTGATGGTTGGTGATGACTTTTGCCAGAATTCTTTCCCAGTTTTGGGCTTTCCTTAATTTCTCGAGGTTTGATTCTGTTTATTATAATTACATTACCTTACAAAATCCATAAACAGACACCATATTTGCATAATCACGATTTGAATAAGTATGTGGCATTTTATAACAACTTTTTTTGTACACGCTGTCAAAGAAATGTTAAGTCAAGTTGACACTACACTATCACATAATATGACAGTCAACAAATGAATCACAGATACCTGGTACAGAAATGTGATAATTAGCAGAAAATAACTGTGTTTTTGTAAAACTACTCTAATCTTTTTATTTCTTTTAAGGTATTAACCCGAAAATATATAGCAATTAGAACCATTTATTACAACAACGTCAAATTTTGTAATTCAATGTATTACAACAACATTTAATATTAAATTAATCAAAAATTACAACTTTGTGATATTATCGCTATAACTCAAAAACAAATGAAAATCTAATAACAATATACAAGCTATTTTTAATTATTGTTACGTATATTATACACGCTAGAGTTCGGTACATTTCTCTCCACTCACCCTGTATATGGTATATTTAAATACTACGAAATCGTGTTAAAATGTCAGGACTACGGTTCCATTTATTTCTGATGTTCGATATTTCGTTGATTCTTTTATTTTTTCAAATTCGTCAAGAACATACTACAAAATTAATCAACAGTTAAGTAGATACAAACATATTATATTATACCTTACGAAATGCTGTATTTTATTTTATGGAACGAATTGTACATGTTATACTCTCCTATTTGTTGGAACCGATTTTGCCAACCGATCCACAGGTTTTCTTTATATTTAGTTTGAAAATCTTTAAAGGCAGCTCTTTGTTCTTCAGTAACAGGTAGCTTTTTTCCAAGTTTGGCAAGATGGTCAGCTCTATCATTCTCCACGATTCCGGTGTGACTTGGAATCCATGCGAATTTAATTTCTTTATTTTGTTCATGAAGTTGACTAAATTTTTGTTTTAATTGAAGAGTTTGTGTGTCTGCTGCAGCCTTAAACCTTGGTCTCGTAATTTTCTCCAGAGCACTTTTTGAATCACTACAAATAAGGCTTATTCTGTTGAATTAAATCTAATGCCTTTTTTATCGTAAATAATTCTGCTGAAAAAATTGAATTAGCAGATAGTAATCTTGGTGTTAATTCGATGTTTTCATTAAAATATATACCAATGCCCACATTACCATGTTCATCTTTGGATCCATCTGTGATGATAAGTTTATATTCAGACCAGTTATCAAGGTACCTTGGTAACTGGATACAAACTTGTCTTGGTTACCTTCTTTCCCTAGGCTTAGAGTTTCATAAACCATAGGAGAAATCTGAGAATCAAGCGGGAAGGAGTGACAAGGAAATAAGCAGTTATGTGCCACCCCATGAATCTCATGTAGTCTATTCTGGAAGGCAGCTAGTATTGGTGGGAAGTATTTGCTCCTCCAGAATCTAAAGTGATTCAGAAATACTTGAAATCGCTTGACTTTTGCTAGATGACAAACACATTCCCATGTCATGAAGTTTTCCAGATATATTCTCTACTGTGTCATTTAATTTTTTCACTGAACCACTCCTGTTTTAAGATACATGCCAGATGTCATATCTGTCAATGTCAGATACCAATATTTTCATCCATGTTAAACTGGTTAAAGTTCTAAAGAATGTAAACCTGACATATAATTGTATAATGTAATGAATATAAAATAAAGTGCTTATTGAAAATGACAAACAGCCGAAACTTTTAAGCAATAGTTAAGTATTTTTATTTACAACAACCTACAAAGCCAGGAAATAATTTTTTTTTAATGCTTCTGGACTCTCCTATTTTACATTGAGTTGAACAGTATAAAGATTAACTTTACGTATAAAATATAAATTAAATTAAATTAGTTTTTTGGCATCAATTTGGACTAAGTACTTGATTGTCTGATAAGTATATTAATCAATTACATTAGCAAATCGATAAATATTAAAAACATGCATATATTTTTACAATAACCTGTTTACTTAATTTTTAATTTAAAATAATATATTAATATACTTGTAGTTAAAAATTATGTTTTTTTAAAGCTGTGTTTTAAATTTATTCCTTAAATAAATATTGTACTACTTAAATAAATATTTTTAGAAGTTATCAAATATGGTGATAACGTTTAGAGATTAGTTCAGTAGTGCAGGTAGAAGTAATCGGTGTGTTATTTTGATAAAGTTTGTTTTTGTTTTTATTATGTTACTATCGCACTATTAAAATAGTTTCCTTCGCTTGTAACTGCATTTTGGTCTAGTTTTATGCAACTTCAGATGAACAAGATTATCCTACGCTGAAATAAAGATAGTTGTATCGTCGGTGTAGAAGGGAAAGTATATTTACTTATATTTCTTCTATTTCGTCTTTAATTAAGAGCTTCATATCTTTAAATTAAAATTAAACAGTGTGTGTGTGTGTGTGTGTGTGTGTGTGTGTGTGTGTGTGTGTGTGTGTGTGTGTGTGTGTGTGTGTGTGTGTGATATCATCGATTTTTTAAATTCATTTAAAGGGCCTTCTCTCAATGCCATTATCTATGGAATATAACAGTTCAAATATCCGCTGCTGCTTCGCACAGTGCTGTTTTAACATGTCGTTGATGTCCATATCATCCAATTCAGGCCAAAAGAAGGTTGATAATCATTGCTTTAGCCCTTGATGGCCTGATCAATGACAGGTCATGTTTTCTTTTTTAACTTCTTGACATTGCAAATACATTTGTCCTAAGTTTTCATATGTGTGATAATTTTCCTTAACGAGTGACATTATTTGATCTCTTTCTTTAGCTTTGATTATTTGACACATTTTATTGTACCATTTTTCGATTATTTTTTTATATCTTTAATTTGTAATAAAATCTTTACTGAGTAGTTTCCTTTTCCTTGTATTCGATTTCTTTTGTTTCTTCCTATTGGTGTTTGTTTATTTGAATTGTGTGAAATATTATCTTCTCTAAGATGACTGTTCTTGAGGATGTGGCATTACAAATCGAATGGTTGCTCTAAGGCTTTACGTGATAAGCTATTTTCCCAACTTTTAACTTTCTTTGTAATCTGTCGATTATTGATTCAGCTGTTTTTGACTTCAATCTAGTTCATTCTAGCAAACATGTATTTGTATGTTCGTCAGGATCATTATGTCTGTTTTAAACATTAATGATCTGTGCTTATTTCCTATTTACTTTACATATTACCAATGGTGATACCTTTGGTCACAAATAAATTTAGTATAGTTTGTAGTGACATATTTAATATTTTAAATATACCTATTTTCGTAGAGGAGCATCAATATGTATGTCTCTTTAGTAGGATGTGTCCTGGTATCTT